GAGGAAAGCACTGCTCTAACACACCCTACAGGAGAGAGAGAGAGGAAAGCACTGCTCTAACACACCCTACAGGAGAGAGAGAGCGAGAGGAAAGCACTGCTCTAACACACCCTAGAGGAAAGCACTGCTCTAACACACCCTACAGGAGAGAGAGAGAGGAAAGCACTGCTCTAACACACCCTACAGGAGAGAGAGAGAGGAAAGCACTGCTCTAACACACCCTACAGGAGAGAGAGAGAAGCTCTAACACACCCTACAGGAGAGAGAGAGAGAGAGAAAGCACTGCTCTAACACACCCTACAGGAGAGAGAGAGGAAAGCACTGCTCTAACACACCCTACAGGAGAGAGAGAGAGGAAAGCACTGCTCTAACACACCCTACAGGAGAGAGAGAGGAAAGCACTGCCACTCTTTGAATCTCCTGGTTATGAAGGAGGGTGCCTCACCTGTCGAGCTCTGCCTCCAGCTGGCAGTATGCAGCGTAGGCCACGATGTTCTCCTGCCCGCAGCGCTCCGTTGTGACGCCGCTGACGTACAGAACGAAGTCCGACCCCTCGACCCCGGGACCGTCCGGAGGCCCGATGGGACCGCACGACTTCCCCGACTCACTGCACACCTTGCATTGCTGAAGGAGAAGCAGAGTCTTTACATCAGGGATTCAGCTCCACTGTGACGTGAGGAACCCTCCAATGTCACTTCAACCAGGGGGTCTTAACTTTAAGACTATATAAATATACACATATAAATAATGTATATATATAAAATAATGTATTAATTTATATCACATTATTGCCTCTGCCTCCTGACCTGCAGGTGGTGCTGTGGCACGCTGACGGGGCCACAGCGGGTCAGGTCAGCGCAGGCGTCCTGGCAGTACCTGTGAGGGTCATCTCTCTTCCTCAGGTACTGATTGGTGGAGCATTGTCTGAGAGATAAGTCAACGTAAGCATGTGCAATGAAATATGAAATAAAATAGCATAGAAATACTCATATTAAAATGATATTATGCATCAAAGTTTGACTATCTGGACTGACCTGCTGAGCAGAACCGGGCCGACACGCCTCCGGACGCTGAACACCTTCTGCAGGTAATCGATGGCCTGAGGAAACAGCTTATCCTGAAACACAAAACATCTGCTGCTGGAAACTGAAGTGCCCAAAATACTTTCATATTTTATAAAGAGATTGTAAACGGCTTTCCACGCCTCGATGTCTGGCTCACCTTCACCAGCCTCCTCTGGTCTGCAGGGAGCCTGGAGAGAGAGAGGGGTGGATTATTAAAACCTCCATCCTTTACTGTCAATCTAGCTCAGGGGACAACGGCCCTGTGCACAGCTCGGATACTGAATTTAATTGGGTTTGACAAGGACTTCCGTCCACACGGAGACGAAAACGAACAGTAGTGGTTTTTAAAAAAGTCTCCCGTCCACATGGAATCGGCTCAAGAAACGTGTACGTCCAAATGAGACCGCTCGACCCGCTGTAGTACATATGCCTGGCCTGTAAGTGGCGCTGTACTTCCGCAACAAAATAAACCAAAAGCAGCGAAGAAGACCCCCGAGCATGAGCTGTAGATTTTGCACTAACATCTGTATCATGGTCTTTAGCGCCTGGAGCACGAACGCAACCCTGTGATCTGACGTTATTGTTGTTGTTGGCGAAACGCATCAGCACTGACGCGGGGTGAGCAGGAGAGGCGGGGCTATGGCGTCATCGATTCAGGAAAAGGTCGAATCGGGCGTACACACGGAGCCGCAAGCGTTTCGTCCTCAGACCTACCCACTTTGGGAGCCGGCTTCAAAGTGCATCGGATTCGGGCTCCGTGTCGGCCTCGTGTGGACGACCCGTCTATACGACAGAGAACGTTAGCTAGACCCTCCAGAAAAACGCGGGCTAAAATCATTGATGATGCGGGCTAAAATGCGGGGTTTTTATGTGATTTTATGGAAATAGCGGGAAGTTGCGTAATATGCGGAAAGTTGTGTAATATGCGGAAAGTTGCGAAATATGTGGGAAGCGGAAAAAAGGTGATTCTTCTCCCGCACCCTGTCACTAGGCTACTACTGAATGAAAGGGAGCACTTTTAAAGAGTTGCTATGATGAACAAGCATACTAGAATCAAGCTACATCACAGAAAGTGCTGGTAATGTTTTAGTTCTTTATTATTCTCTCAACTTAAGCATGGCTTAAACATTCCTGAGTCACAACATTTTCAAAAAATAAAATAAATGCTTCCTGCTTTATAAAAGTGAGGTAGAACATCTGTTATGCTATAATAATATTTTCAAAGACAGAAACTGAGTAACTGTTGAACATCAACTCGCCAAAATCATAGGATTTTGAAAATAACATATCTCTCATGAGGCAAATCTACTTGACCATTGAATGGTTCTATAAAGCTTAGGTAACACAATACTGTGGCAGGTCAAACTCCTTGAAGTATTCTTCACATACCTCATACTGCATCTCTTTATTGGCAGCAAAGACCACCTGCAGATCCTCCAGATAATTGAAGATCTTTGTGGTCACTGGGCGTCTGCTCTCGAAGATGTCTAGTAGATTGAGGATGTGTTTGC